TTAGCAAAGAAAGTTTTTGCGGGTCTAAAGGAATACGGTGTAATCCTTCTCAAGAATATCACACGAATTTTTCCCTACTCTAGGCATGTTAAGGCTATCCCTTCTTTCTTTGGCCATGATCTATACGACACAAATGAAGCGAGAAAATGCACAACTTCCATTAATGACTCCCTTCATAGAAGTATTAGAGGTGCATATGTTCTTGAATTTCCATGTGTCCTATTATTTTATCATCTGCCCATGGGTCTCAGAACAATACGTAAGTTGAAAAAGTATACTTCATGATATTAATCAGAGGCATGATGGTCTTATGATGTACAGGAGATTTTATGAATGTATTTCATATGCATTTCATGCATTTATACATGCACATTGACCCATAACCAGATGGCATTATATATGGGAAAGGTTATGGCGTTATATACGTAGCACCACCTGATCAGCTGGTATACGTTGATGATTTTTCCCACAGTGGCCGAGATAGTATGATGGGATGCCCTCAGATGTCCCGACCCGGATTTCCCACCATCGGGATCGTGATGGCACCTACTCGTGGTAGCTAGGCAAGCCAACTTACTTACCTTTTCATCACTAAACAATTATTTTAACAATTTATAGCATCAATATAGAACATGAAATTTACTAAGAATAATAGCGGAAGTCTGATTTATAAATCTGAATCAAAACGCGGAACAGTTAATAAGAATTCGCTTTGCGAGTCTCGCATTTGCGAGAAATTCTTCGCAAATGCGATGAAACCAGACCTGACCTGCAACTATTTTTTCAAAGTTCAAAAATGCAACTCGACACCTATCCAAAACTCACCCGAGCCCTCGGGACTCCAAACCAAACATGTACACAACCTCAAAAACATCCTACGGACTTGTCCGTGCGATCAAATCGCCAAAATAACATCAAAATCATTGAATCAAGCCCCAAATTCATCATTTTTCATTATAACTTCATAAACTTCAAACTTTAGATAGTTAGGTCCGAAACACGTCCAATGACGTCCGATTTCGACCAAACTTTACAGAAAGCGCTTAACATATATTTAAGACTTGTACCGGGCGTCGGAACCATAATTCGAGCCCGATACCACAGTCTTTTAATCAATTTTCATTTCCTTTTTCCTTAATAATTTCAGAGAAACAATTTCACAGAAAAATTCTTTCCTCGGGCTCTAGACATCGGAATTCGACTCCGGGCACATGCCCGAGTCCCATATTTTTCTACGGACCTTCCGGGACCGTCCAATCCGGGTCCGTTTACCCAAAATATTGATCAAAGTCAACTTTAATCATATTAATATCAAAACTCATCATTTTTCACACAGAATTCATATTTATGCCTTCCGGCTACACGCCCGGACTGCGCACGCAAATAGAGGCAAGTAAAAATGAGGTTTTCAAGACCTCGGAAGCACGGAGTGGATGAGGAAATAGGTGATGACCCTTTGGGTCGTCACAGTATTATTAAAAAATTATTTTTTTAACTAACTCGCATTACAATACTGTGAATTACTTAATCGCAGTACCGTACTGCGATTTCTGTATTAATTTGGCCCCACCAATAATTAACTGACATAACAATAATTCAAACACATAAAACGTAGTATTGTACTGCGAATTCCTTAAAAAAATTCTGTACCCCAAGCTCGGACTTGCCTTATTTAAAGGCTTTCCAATTTTATGAAAATTCATTCAATACAAACTTCAAACTTCCGTTCATACTTCTCTCTTCTTCTTATCAATCATTTTTGTACAATGTCTAAAGAGCCAAAAATAAGGGTTTCATTATATTGGGGGGGTGAGGTTGTGCTGGAGAATAACTCTGTGAGGTATAGCTCACCTCCACAGTGTCATGTTAAATTGCCGCTTACTATGGAGTATGATAAATTGGTTTCGTTGTTATGTAAAAAAATGAGTGTGAGGAAGCGTTCGGTTAACCTTAATGTAACCGGTAGGTTACCGTATTCAGTGACTCCTGATAACGCCAAACTATGCCTTATAAAAAGACATACGGATGTTGCCAATATAATCTGAGTAATTCTGCCCAGAGTCGAACCACAGGGAATTAACCTACCAATTACTTTTGTCGGACTTACTAAATTCACAGAATCAATTTCCCCAAATTTTTGCAATTAACAGTTGATGATCTTTCTACAACTAAAACTGGAAACAAATAAACAGCTGAAAATTAACTATGCTTGATGTGTAAACAATTGGAATAAGGTCTAAGGTAATGGTTTCCCCCGTTGTTGATTTCCTTGGTTGTATATGTCTTATAACTGTGACTTAGCTATCTCTATCAATCATGAACTCTCCATCTACCATAAATCTTTCTCAAGCAATTATGATAATTTATTCGACGCACTCTCTCAAGCTACGCTAGCTAGATTCTCAATACAGTTCACTTAGATTGCACCCGAGGTATCGTTATCTCTAAACCAACCTCTAAACCCTCGGTTATGACTCTCGTCTATACTCCGGGAGTGATGTTGTTCAAACAGCTACCTAAATATGCACTCTCTCTCAGGCAGATACGTACTAAATAGGGACGGATAATTGAGGGCCCTTTCAATTAACCACAATCAAAACATAGATGAACAAGAGATTAAAACCAATTCACAACTACATTAATTTAACAACCAAGTCATCCCCAACGGGTTTCACCAAAACCTTAGATTAAAGTATTTAGCTATTCATGACAACGATAAAAACTACAAAAGAATTCATAGTCATCGATAGAAGAATAAAATAGGGAGAATAAAAATTGTTTTTCCAAGTTGCCTCCTTGCCTCCCTTGCTTCTTCTCCAAAAACTCGAACTCCTTTCTATTAGGCTTGTTGAACCTTTTATAGTTTGTGTGGATTCCCTTGGACTTCCGAAATTGCCCTTTTTAAAAGTCTTTTTCCACCACTGGACTAGCGCGGGCGCGCTAAGGCCGCGCTAGTGAGGTTTCCTTCTGTTTTGGACTGCTGGACTAGCGCGGGCGCGCTAAGGCCGCGCTAATGCCCGCGCTAGTGGGGTTTTCCACTGGTTTGGTGCTTTGCTCCAATTTTCGTCCCTTCATTCCAATTTCCGCCTGGATTACCATCATAAGCCTTCATTTAATTATTGAACTCCTGTGAAACATAAAAGTCACCATTAGAGCCAATTTTTGCATTATTTATACACTTACAATAGTAAAACATCCTTAAGTTAGAGCCCAAACGTAGACCAAACTATACAATTTAGCATTTTATCAAAGTCACTAGAAGAATTCTTCGCTACCTAAAAGGTACGATTGACTTTGGGCTATTTTATTCTTCTTCTAGTGATTTCAGTCTTATGGGATTTTGTGATAGTGATTATGCGGGTGATATTGATGATAGAAAAAGTACAACTGGATTTGTATTTTTCTTGGGTGATTCTGTTATTTCTTGGAGTTCAAAGAAACAATCCATTGTTACTCTCTTGACTTGTGAGGCTGAATATATAGCAGCAACATCCTGTACATGTCATGCTATTTGGCTGAGAAGACTGTTGAAGGAGCTCAATTTACCACAAATTGAAGCTACGGAGATTTGTATTGACAACAAATCCGCACAGGCACTTGCTAAAAATCCAGTGTATCATGATCGAAGCAAGCATATAGATACAAGGTATCACTTTATCAGAGAATGCATTGCCAAGAAGGAAGTCGAGCTCAAGTATGTGAAGTCACATGATCAAGTTGCGGATATTTTTACCAAACCTCTCAAGTTTGAAGATTTCCATATATTGAGATCAAGGCTTGAAATGAAGAAGAAAAATCAAAATTAAGGGAGAGATTTGTGGGGCCAATCAAAATTAAAAGCTATTCAAAAAAGAAGTAGATAACAACAAGTTGCAATGGCAACTTGTTGCAATAATGGCTGAAACAAAAAAATCAAGTTGCAACAAGGTTGAAACCATAACAAGTTTTGGACGTTGGCAACTTGCAATAAATCAAGTTTTTGATTGGCTGAAACTTTGGCAATTCCTCCTATAAATAGGAGCTCAATTCTTCTTGTTTAGACACACCAAAAATCAGAGAGAGCGCAATAGAGCATAGAGAGAGTAATCCACAGATTGTAATCTGTGAGATAAATAGTGAGTGAGAGTAATATTGTAGTGATGTGTTTAAAATAAAGAGTGTTATTTCTTTCGAAGTTGTAGTAGTCTCTTGACACTACTAAGTTGTAATATTATAGTGATAATATTGCTCCGCTGGGGTATTGTATTTTATCCCGTTAACATATTTGGTGTCGCTGTTACTCTCTTGTGTTATTGTTATTTTATCGTGGACATTATTGCTGGGCGGGATATTATTTTTTTATTCCCAATATCCTCTAGTGTAACTTGATATCAGCAATTTGCTGTGATGTCAATTTATATTGCAGAAACAACTCTAGCTTTAACTAAACCTAAGAACAAATTAACTCTGATTGTAAAGGTTGAGAACACAGAGGGTTGATTTCACAGCTTAGGATAAGAAAGAAAGATTTCATCCCGTCTTTAAAGCAATCGTCTTGTAGACTACTCTCCGTTCCTTTGACCTCATAGTTACTGGGATCGAAATAACAAGGCATCATGCAGAAGCTAACCTTACAAATCTTGATCGATGATAAGTCAGATGATAAAGAAAAATATACTAAACTAGGCATAATAAATTATTATGATTTGGTCAATCGACCTACATATAAGTGCAGTTGTCACTTTCATCTCTTCAGACCATTATAAAACAAAGGATAACAAATGAAATTCACGTTTGTTTTTGCTTTAAAAATTGATTGTTTTGTCTTTCATAGCATAGTATCCGTCGCCTTCTTAGCTATTAGCTCTTGTTTTCATCAAATCCAAGGAAGAACGAACGAATAGCAGCCATTGTGATATCAAACAGCCAGCAAATATGAATTTTGTTTGGCTTCTGTGCAACAGATGTATAAATTCAACAACATTTGTTATGACAATATATTCTGTTGATTCAACTGTGCCATGGACTTCACTAAGTACTTCTTGTTACTCATTTCACTCTTTGTCGTTGGCATTTCAAGAATTGCAAATGCAAGTGATCCTGACATACTTTCAGACTTCATTCTCCTAGAAAATCAAACATCAGCATGTGGAGACTTCTTCACTTATACTGGCATGCGCGGGATCGTTCACAAAGTTCAAACAACCTTTGCTGTGACAAAAGCTAGTTTAGCAGAATTCCCAGCTCTAAATGGCCAAAGTGTGTCACTTGCCATGTTACAATTTCCTCCAGGTGCTGTTAACCCGCCTCACACACACCCTCGCGCATCTGAACTCTTGTTCCTCGTAAAAGGTGTTTTAGAAGTTGGATTTATCGACACAAAGAACGTTTTGTATAAACAGAAGCTCAGAGCCGGAGACATGTTTATTTTCCCTAAAGGACTAGTTCACTATCAGTATAACCGGAACCATTATAAACAAGCCGTGGCCATCTCTGCATTTGGTAGCGCGACTGTTGGCACTGTTTCATTGCCATTGTCTATTTTTGGCACTGATATTAATGATATCGTACTTTCCAAGTCGTTGAAAACCGATGTTGGCACCATTGAGAAGATTAAAGCAGGATTTCCCAAACCCTGAATTTAGGCCTTACTCACTACCTAAAGACATATAGTATCAAGTGCTGGATCCATGATCTAGTACTTCTAGTACTTATGCTATGTACTTGATGAAAAATGTCAATAACTTGAGGTTGTTTACTATATAAAATTGCATAAAGACTATTAAATGAAGATTGTGCCAAATATATAAAGTTGTAGACATGATTTATGCACCGACGAGACACACAAAGGCGGAGCCAGGATTTGAATTTTATGAGTTTAAGAGTCTAGCCCTTTTAAGTTATTAGGTTCTAAATTGTAATAATTTATACATATTTAATGAACTTCTTAAGATTTGGACTAAAGTTACTGGGTTCTGCCAAACCAGCACAAAAACCAGTCTTAAACGCTTAGGGAGATGCAGAAATTTTTCATTTATTATGTCAGTTTACAGTTTCCTTCTTATAAGATTCCTCAGAGTCTTGCTTCTTTGTGGCTCTACGTTTCAAAACAACAACAACAACAAATCCGTTGGGGAGGGTAGTGTGTACGAAACCTTACCTCTACCTTGGGAGGGCAGAGAGGTTGTCTCCGATAGACCTTCGACTAAAAAAATGTGGCTCTATGATCCTAGAGCCAAAAAGAAACAAGAGAAATTTTAGAAAAATGGTAACTGAAATGTGACACTTGAGAAAGAGTTAGCCCTTGAAGTCAAACTTTATATTATAGTACTGTAAAAGAATAGGAGTCTTTCTGAATAGCAGCAAAATACTCTTCTGCCAAGAGAAGTGACTCAGTAAAGTCTTATACAACCGGAGATCTTAGACTACAAATTTATTTCTATATAATTCAGACTACAAATCCTATTTAGACATTAATTTAAATAAACTAACAAATCTATTCACAACATGTATGGTGCACTTGCACCGTAACTACTGCTTTGTGAATGTTTTGATGTGCCAAAAGAAGCTAGGAATCGTGTTAATTTCCAGCCCTCGACGAGCACCTAGAATGTTCAGCTCGAGAGTTGCCTTGTACTGAGATGGTATTTCCATCAATGCTGCCAATGCAAACTCTGCTTCTTTCCTGGACCTGTCTGCATTTTTCGACATGATTTCTGTAAAATTAACAAACTGGAAATTGTCAAAGGCTCGAGCAGGTATATTGTCATCGAATTCCCTCATCATATCCCATGGCCCATCTCCAACCCCAACTACAACAATAGACAACGCGTATTGACTTGCTTTCACAATTGCTTCAACTGTTCTCTTCTCTTGAGGACTTAATTGACCAACCTGTCCATCTGCTATTATCAATAAAACATGGTATTGGCCACCACTCTGCTCTACAATACTGATTGCCATTTCAATAATAGGAGCAAACGACGTTGGTCCAGCAAGACGTAATTGAGGAACTAATTCTCTATATCGACTCAGTACTTGCTCGAATCCATAACATACTTCCTCATCAGGATAGAAACTGAAGACTTGTTGATCATGTGTTGACGCATCACCAAATCCAAAACAAGGAATTAAGTTATCCTCATCAAACTTTGATAGTGTTCTTCCAATTATAGATATTGCTTGTTCATATGGATTTTGCTGATTATCCGCGATATGATGCAAACTTTTCCCCTGGAATGACCTTGCACCGGTCCACTCATTGCTCTTGGTAAAATCGATCCCAACAATTAAGTTTGAAGACTCGAGCCCAGCACGTGCAAGCGCATCAGTAACCTGTTCTAAGCTGTTGTAGTCATCGTCAATCTTTGTCGATCTTTGAATATTTCCTTGATGCAGAAGGTGCACCATAATATGCCTGATAAGTCGGATAATTGTAGCTTGGTTGAGTATATTGTGACTGGTGATAGCCTGGATATTCACCAGTTTTTGGCCTCTTTGAACACTTGCCACCCATGAAATCTGTAGATTGTTATATCTGTAGATTCTAACAAAGATCTATTTTAAGTGTACAATTTGTTTAGGATAATACGAAAATAGGAATAAATAGAAAGGAGTATGAAATCTTGTTTCTGACGAATTATGGACAAAAGGGTTTTACTATAAGGGTATTTATAATACTACTTCTTGCCCCTCTCCAAGTAGGTAACAACCACATAACTTTTCCATAACAATTAGGAATTAACTCTTCCGAATCAAATAGAATTGGTTTTCCTATTCTAATAGGAATTGTTTCTTTTCGTATTTATATTTTTGTTCTAGAAAATATAATAATATTCCATTGAGATCAAATTATTTTTTTATTTGTAAAATTAAATTCACAATTAAATTTGTAATAATAAATTAAATTATTCTCAAGCAAGAATCAGAACACTCATAAGTGGGTGATATACTATACAAGACTTGCTCTATCTACAATATAATATGACATCTCACCTTTAGCGCATTCAATCACGACTATATACAAATTTAATAATTTCACAAATTAATTTGTCATTAACACACACAAGTATAGTTGAATAGACATACATTGTTTTAATTGTTGAATAAAAAATAAATGGTCCTTTCATTGTCATACTCATCGGGGGCCGAACCCTGTAGCTTTTGTTCAAATCCTATATTTGTATTAAGAAGTCCAATAAATATGTTCAAATTATTAAACAGTCGAACGATGCATTATTCACTTTTCCAGGTTCACTGAAAATCAAAAAGTAACTGATCACATACAAACATATCTCAACTCATGAGTTCCTCTTGCTTGTGTGTATGAATAACACAGTCAGCTCTAGGGTACGAGATACACGTCAATACGTAGCCCTTCTCGGTTAGATTTTCGTCGAGGAACGAGCCCTCGGATTGGTCTACTGATCCAGAAACCAACTGTCCTGCACATGTTCCACATGTACCAGCCCTACATGAATAAGGCAATTCCATTCCAGCATTTTCTGCGGTATCAAGTATGTATTGATCTTCAGGGATTTCGACTTCATTTTCATTACCATCAGGCCCGACTAGTTTCACCTTGTACGTTGTCATTGCTGAAACTTTGAAATTGGAGAAAGACTTCATGCCGAATGCTTTGGAAATACTCTTTACAGAACTTAAAGCACGTCGCGACCTAGTGAAACCAGAGGATTTTATTGATGCACCTTTGAGCAAGCTAGACGAAGGAACGTTAACAGTTGACATGTTTGCACCTGCGATACATAGTGTTGGGATCAAAATAACATGGTACTTGTGGAAGCTAACAATATAAGCTTGGTGGACGATAAATCGACAAAAGAATTATACTGAAATAGTATACTATGATGAGGTTTGATCAATTGATCTACATATAAAAAGGGGACAAATGTAACTTTGGCTGACGGTAGATGACGTGTCTCATTTCGTCAAAAAGGGGACAAATGCAGAACTTTGGCTGACGGTAGAGATTTCTATAGCCTGAAAGTATAACGGGGAACTGGCTTATACAGTAAAGCAAAGTAGAGGGACATAAACGACCCTATTCAGAAATAGATAACTATTGAAAGAAAAACCTTCCCTAAGCAATATTCTGTAATGACTATTGTGAATGCTATTGTTGTTGTGAGAAGCAGAGATCCTCAATTTATACATGTCAAAATAAGACATATGAAGGATCTTTTTAGGAGTCTTTTTCTCGCCCTTTCAAGAAAGAGAATCTAATAGATTAGATCATGACAAAATCCTGACACATAGAACAACTTAATGAATAGGCTAAATTAATATAAAACATTATTAATCAAGATTTAAGAATGTTTTCACCTAATAAAACTGGCATTATATCATGCATCATTTCAATTTCAATGAATTTCAGCTCAAGCATTGAGCCAAATTTGGCACACATCGTAATCCTGAAAGTGTATCTGTACGTACAACACATATTACCCGTTCATACCAATTCAAGAAGAAACTGTTTTAGCTGTCAGCTGTGTCTTCTGAATTCAGGCAGTTAGGTGCACTAAGCTCCTGTTATGCACGGGGTCCGGGGAAGGGCCGGACTACAAGGGTCTACTGTATACAGTCTTACCCTGCATTTCTGCAAGAGCATATTTTCACAACTCGAACTCGTGACCTCCTGGTCACATGACAGCAACTTTACCAGTTTCACGTGACCTCCTGTCTTGATTTCAAGATTCACTTTAAATCAAGACCTTATTTTCAGAACAAGAGATTCGTTCAATCCTAAAAAATCCGGCAATCATAGACCGCTTTAGTTTATCTAGCCTTCATAAATAAAAGGCACCCGCTCCTATTTCACACAGTCAAAGATAAAGGCCTGTCTTCTCATCAAATTGTGCAGGAAAGAATATAAATAAGCTCACTTACTTCTTTTTTTCATTTTCTTTAAAAGAAAAACAAGATCTTTATGTACAATTAAAGTTACCTTTCCCCAAACAAACTAAATAAATAAATTACGCATGTTTTCATATACACTCTTATCACTAAATTTTAGTTTTTTAATCCATATTCTTACTTTAATTTGTGACTTAACCATGATAAATCAGTATAATTTGTTGTAAACACCGGATGCGAGTGAATTTTTACAGTTCCTCTTCCTAATTTCTTCTTCCCTTTCTACTTTCGAAGTAATACAAAAAAGTGTTTTTCTCCTGTCAAGTCTAAATTTAATAGAGTCAAATCTTTGTATAACAACCTCGTTTGTTTCAGCAAGGTTTGTTCCAGCAAGTAAAGTGCTGTTATAGAAAATATATTTTATAATATAACATAGAAAATTAGTTCCAAAAAAAAAACTTCACCGTTATAATAAAATATTATTATAAAAAATGATTGTTAGTATTTCAGAAAGATATATGATGCTTAAGACTGGGTTATTAGTAATCACTCAAGATGTTATATCGTTATTTTCTTAGAGATACATATGTGTTAATGTAATTATTGCACCACAGCTAGTATTTAACAACAGAAAATGATTCCATAGACAAAACTCAAAATATTGATCAGTACTTAAAAGAAGTAGAAGATATGAACCTCTGAAGATGATAAACTGAGGAGCTGAATTCAACAAAAAATGAAGAGATTAGCTGCAATTTCTGTTCGG